GCATAACAGTTGCCTACAGAAAGATAAATAAAATACATTTAGTGAAATGACTGAAATGACTGGAGACTAAAACTCCCGTCTATTGCTTCTCCTCCTTGCAGCTATTGCTCTAGTTAATAATAAGACTTGCAGTCTGAAAGCAGAACGAGAAAGGAGAGGGTGACCTTGAATAAGACACAGTCCTTTAGTCTGCAAATCAGAGACACTTCTACGTGCAGGTGCCTCCACACAGTTGGCTCCACATGCACAGTGACCATTTCCAAACAGAACTCCCAGCTCGCAAGACTCCCTGCAGCCTCTTTGCCAGGCAAGGGCTGACACTTAAGACCCTCAATCACAGAATCATAGAATGGTTTGTGTTGGAAGAGAACTCAAAAGGACCATCCAGTTCCAACTCCCTGCCATGGGCAGGGACACCTTCCACTAGACAGGGTTGGTTCCACTAAACTAAATTGGTCCTGTCCCCCAGCTGGCACTCAGAGGAGTGGGACCGGTCCAAGCCCTTTGGGCACAGCTCACCCATTGCCCTGGGCACCTTCAGTGTATGGAGCCTGGTGGACAAGACCCATAGGAGATGCTTTTCTTCCATAGAGAAAAATCTCCTGCTGCTTCTCTCTAGAGAGTCAGCAGCCAGTGACTATCTCATAGGAGTTTGTTTTTTTTACTACACACTGGTTTTGTTTGGGTTGTTTTTTCCTGTTGTAAATAAAAAAAAAATAAAATACTTTTCAGCCTGTCAATTCATTTCTCTGCTCCCTAACAGCCCTTCCTCTTCCCCCCTCCAGCCTTGGGCAACTGAATTTAAGAAAAAAGGAAAGTCAGAGTTGCTAAGCCCTTGAAAAAAACAGTCCCAGCCATTTCTTGTCTGCTTCAAAATGAAGACAGGTATTTCTCTAAGGCAGATCCCATTTGCCTGCCAAGCCCACACAGTTCAGACAACATACTCACACAAGCATGAAAAAAAAACAAGAAGAAATTTCAACATCACAGGTGTACTGAGAACACTGGGAGGAAACCAGGCAGGTTCTTTAACACCTCTCTCCAGCTCACATGAAAGGACATGATCATAAATCAATCTAACACCGAGAAAAAATACAGTAGTAGTGGTTTGTTTTCATCTTCTATTTCTCCAGCACATTTTGAGCCCCAGTTCAGAGAAGGAACCAAAACAGCGTTTTGGAGTCAAAACCTGCCACCTAGAGAGCAAAAAGGCAAATGAAAAGGAACAGGTTTGGAGGCTGGTGGGGATTTTTAAAGTGACTGTCTTGTAACATTACAGATGTGCTGAAAACTATAAATTTGCTGTGCTGTCTTTTACAGCAACAGAATAGGTTTTAAGAGACCCTTAATTATGTATCTGCACAGCACAGACATCGTTATAGGCTACTGCACCTACTGCCAGCACAAACACTGCTCTGTGTGGTTAGTCATTATAGCACTCTTTTCTCCCAGTTCTATAAATTTATGTGGTTTGTGTAAACAGAGTGATCTCTTTCCTTTTCTTTTGAGATCATGTAACTGTTGGAGAAAGCAAGTCAGTTTTAACGAGAGTTTTTGGATGCTCTGAGTGGCAGTGAACTGCCTGGTTCTGGGTCCTGCGAGTGAGCTGTGGATGCTCAGCAGGTCTGGCAGATATCAGGCTGAAGACAAGAGGTGTCAGAAAAACCAGACTTGGAACCACCGAAAAAACACCCCCCCAAAACCCCTCACAACCCTGGTGATCTTCTTAGCAAGTTTCCTGAAGTTTTTAACTGAAGCAAAACTCTCAGGATTCCACGTCTAGAAACCAACCTGTTTGCACCTCGAGTTCAGATGGGACAAGCTGACAAATTCTTTATGAAAACTGAGTGTTTCAGCATTTCTGAGTCAAGAAATTTTGCAAAATTGTTCACATTGATTTTAGGTCCATTCAACACTAAACCAAATTGCCAGACATACAAGGACAGGGGACATAACAAAGCAACCTCTCCCTAAAAATGGTACCTAACAGTTATAATTCCTGAATTATCATAGAATCATCTCCTTTGTACATTCCGTCATAGGGTTCATCCAGCCTGGGCAGGAGAGGAGGAAGTGGCAGATAAATTCAGGATAGTGCATTATTTACTCTAAACTGTGAAATACCTTACTGAGCTTCCCCCACCACTCACCTCAGTCAACCCTCTGTGAAGGGTCCTCAGTGCCTTGGGCTGCACAGAGCAGAAGTTGGATGCAAGTCAAGCAGCAATTCCCGAATGTGCTGTTGCCTGTAGCCTAAAGTACAGACCAAGTGCACCACCCTGTGCTGGGATATATATCTCTGATAGAGAAATACAGCTCAATGCCTCATGAAATAATTCATTAAAAAAACCAATTATTTAACAATATGGCCAAAGACATGTAGTATAAATCTCATTTAATCACTACTGGAGTGCTGGAAGTTCATATCCAAGAGATTTTTTTGTGTGTGTGTTAAAATTTCTGTGGAAAACATCAAACCTTGATTCTCCCCTCTTCACCAGCTATCTGTGGTCATCCCAAAGCTGGAGGCTGTCTCAGCACTCCCAGCCCTGTACAGATGCTCTGGAAGGAACAGCCTGCTGTGTAAAACACCTGGAATCTGCTGCCTGCCAGGTATCCACTGCAGCACAACTCCTATTGCCACCTTCCAAAATCACCTGCAGGCTCCTACCCATGGCATCAGACAGCCCTTCTTAGGAAAACCTGTAATCTAATCCTGACCAGCAACAGGCAGCAGGAAAGGGAGGGTAAAGGTGATGGTAAACTGAGTAAATTATGGTGTTTGTGCATAAGACTTAATTCCACAGTTTCAACAAAATTAAGACCTCATTCTTTGGGCATCACAAGTTGGCCACCACTTTGAAGCCATAAGCACGGTTGTCAGTCTGAGCTTCTTCTTGAAACTTCTTCAAATCTGTCTCTCGTGGCTCAGATCCCAGCATTTCCTGGCCCAATTTGCCCTGACACCTGGCTGCTACCAGGGAATCCAATCACTGGACCTGTGGGGACCAGGGTCTGAATCTGAGCAGGGATCAGTCACCACCCTAGGCTGACAGACAATCTGACTTTGCAGGAATTTTCGAGTCTCCTTGATTATCAGCCTTCTGCCAGAGCACAACCTCTAATCCACCTGACACCAGAGCAAGGCCCATGAATGAGTGCTCCTCTCCTCAGCTTAAAGCTTGAAATATATTGTTTCACATCAAAATTAGGTTGCATCTTTGATTCAACTAAAACCACCCAGACCATCTCAACATGGCAGCTCAGTGGTTTTAATTAGCACTGTTGCAGAATTTCAATATGCCATGAAAGAACCAGGTAAATAAGAATCATAGAATCACAGAATGCTAAGGGGTTGGAATGGATTTTAAAGATCACCTAGTCCCAACCCACCCTGCCATGTGCAGGGACACCTCCCACTATCCCAGATTGCTCAAAGCCCTGTCCAACCTGGCCTCAAACACTTCCAGGGGTGGGGCAGCCACAACTTCTCTGGGCAACCTAGATCATCTTACAGCTGTCTCTTCTCCCTCCACCTTCAGTGCACAAAGGAGATCTTATGTGATCATCCAAAGGCAAGTATTGTTCAGTAAGAGAAAAAAAAAAAAGTGGGTCTACGTCCTGCTCTCTTTGTTCAAGAAAATCAGAAATAAACTTCCCTAACCAAAATGAACTTCTAGAATTGATCTCTCAAAACTGAAAGTGATTTATGGACAGACATCACTGCCAAGTGTAGATCAAGGAAAAATTTTACGAGAAGAGCAACATTAGCAGCGTTTCTCTTGCACATAATAACTACTTACTAGGTTATCAAATAGCAACAGGTTTAAGGTTCAGCACTAACCTAACTTTTGCCTCCAAAAAGACAAATAAATGAACGATTTTCCAGATCAGATTACCCAAAACATTTATTCAGAACATACGGCACTAAACAGATGTGAATACGTTTTCCAAAGAGTCATTGTCATTAATTAGCTCATATTTGTCAAGTGCACATTTTTAGGCAGGAAAACTGCATAGCCTAAGCATTTCTATCAGGCAAGGTCAGGTTCCTTCCCCATCCTTTGGTGACACTCAGTTGCAGGTTAGTACAAACTGCTTCCACAGGCTGGAGCAGATCCAGGCAGCTGCTAAGGTGCAGCACCAGACACTGCTGCAAACCTTGGCATCAAGGGTGAATTTTTAAACTCATCCTCAAGTTTCAAGATACAAGGAAATGCTTTCTCAGGGTGCAGAAATCATCGCAGTTTATGGCTGTCTTCTAAAATACCTGGTGCCTCTGGAAGGGCTTCCATGGAGCAACCCCAAGCAGGAAACTTACTACACCTCAGCTGTCCTGGAAGATCATCTGTTGTGATAGTGGGGACGAGGATGAAATTCGGGCAGTTCATCAGGAAGCACCACCCCTCCCAAAGATTGTGCTGTGGAGCAGCACAGCACCTCGATGAGCTACTTTGATTATCAGGCTTATAAGAAGACTGGCTGCAATACCCTGACACTCACTGCTGAGGAATTGCCCTCTTGCACAGACTGAGACATTTTAGCACATATATTTCTCTAGTTAAAGGGCACCTTCTGGTCTTTTTGCTCCAGATTTAATCAGGCGCCACCAGAAAACCGAGCAGATCTAGTGAAAAACCCTTATCTGTTGCCATAGACTTTATCAAATGATTTACTGCCCAGTCCTGCTTTCAGCCATCCAGTGGCTGGCTGTCAAGTTCATCTGAGTAAATCACTCCAAGGTGAACAATACAGCACCTGGTCTCTGTCCCAAGGCCTGGATCACCTGACTGATGCCTGACCATACATAAAGTGCATTAATAGACATTCAGTGCAGCACAGATATGACCTGTCCTTTTATGCATTTCATCAGGGCTCAGCTCTAGGAGCTGTAAATGTCAGCATTGAGACATCTGCCTACTGCTTGCTTTAGGAAGAGAAATTCCACAGGGATTGGAGTAAGAAAACTAAGAACAGTTTTAAATAAATAACAACACGAGTTTTCGTAACAGCACCTTTATGGAACACAAGGTTAGCTCTAGACAAGTGCCAGGTTACATGAACTTTCAGTCCTCTATATAAAGCAATCTGGGATTTAGTCCACCTTGATAAAACCTATAACACTTATTTATAGGCACAATATTGGGCTACTTCCACAGTAAAAAAAAAGGGCTTTCCATTACAGTGCTGGGAGTGGTTAACAAGTAAGTTACCTTATTATGTTCTTTTTTTTAGAGAATAATAATTCTCCTCCTCTGTGTCGCATTGTTATTAGAATTTCAGAACACTAGCAATGCAATTCTAGTTAAGATAAAGTGGCAATTAAGGTAATGTAAGCTAAAGACCAAACCATCTTCATAGATACAGACAATTTTGAATATATATTTTGCATGTGAAATTAGATTAATTTTTGTGAATAACAATTCCATCTCTATACACAAACAACAGAATTCCTTGCCAGTAGAGAACTGCACTGTGCATGGCTAGTCAGCCTTGAAGAGAAAGTCTGGACCTCAGGCATATCCAGCTACGTGGATCAACAAGCAATCCCTTCAGATCCAGCAGCTTTGGTTTAATGGACGGAAACTTTGGCCTGTTGTTCAAACATACTTGCCAGCAACAAACAAGTGGGACTGGAGTCGTTAAAAACAAAGCAAAGTGTGGTATGTGCATAAAGTCAGTGCCTTGATCCTTAAAAGCATCTCTACAGGCAACTTTACCTTAAAAATGGGCAGTGCTTAAGTTACAAAGGATTTTTTTTATGATGACTGAAGAAAATAGCTCTGCTTCAGGAATTCAAAAGATGGGTCAGATTTAGTAGTAGATTTATTAATTTGCTGTGATTTACAACGAGGTGATAACGTCTGAAACAAGGGAGACATCAAAACAGGTTTAGCCAGGAGGTTTATGGCTTCCAAGTCATTTGGGCATCAGTCATTTGGGCAACTGAAGATTAGCAGACAAAAGGTAAGCACAGGCCAGGTGCTGCACTGGTGTTTTGGAGACTGTATTCCAAAGTGTCTTCTCTTACAGCAATTTCCTTTTCTCGAACTCCTGCAAATAGCACACAGATGTTACCAGTGGGAGAAAAAAGAAAATGCTTCTATTACTGTTTTATTTTAAATTACTTTGTGTTTATCTTAGCAAAACTTATTTTAAGAATTAGAAACTGGAATTAAACATTAAAATATAAAATGCATAAAGTGTGCAAGCTAGGGGAAAGGAGAATAAGCATTCTCCCACCTCACATTAGCAAAACAGTTATGGAAAGTGCCAGACTGCAGTCAGGGCATGCTCTCAGACTGCAATATTGTCAAGGAACCATTTGCTCCCAGGCATAACATAATGGGCTTGAAAAACCCTAGTGCTGTGTAATAGCTGCAGTAGAATCCTTACAGCAAAGGACTCAAGCGAGAGAAGAAACAAAATAAAGATTTTCATTTTAGTAAAGAAAATATACAACAGAAGAAGAGAAGAATCCCACAGCACCCTGTGGAGATGCTGTACTATACAGTCACCACAGGAAACAAAAAATACCTAAAACAGCTGAATTATGCATTTCCTCTAGCTGTGAAGCAACCCCTTATTTTAGATATCAACTAAGGAAAATGCAAATAATCCCGTTCCATACCTCAGTTTTTCAGCTGTATACATTCAACCATAACTCTGAATTAGTACTTAAAACAGACTTATATGCCAAGGTTCTCCTTCCTCAAACACCCTACTTACAGAGAATGTTCTGTTTTAAATTAATTTGGGTTTTTTGCATCCAGAAAACAATTTCGACAAGTTGCTGCACTTGAAAGCAAAATGTTTACTTTTCTATAAAACAGTATCACATAAAACTGTATGCACATATCTTTTAAGTAGTAATTTCAGCTTGTTCAGTCAAGAGAGCTCTTATATTTAACCAAGTCCAGAGCAACAGAGTATCTGGATAAGAGATGCACTCCCAACTTGTATTCCCTGAGAAGTGGCTTCTTGCTCTGGATGGCCACATGTACCAATTTCTAGAGACACACCTTGTAGATGGTGCTGCCCAGCTGAGCAGGGGACATGCTGACCACAACACCTGCACTCTGAAGGGCTGCAATCTTCTCCTTAGCTCCCCCTTTTCCCCCAGCAATGATTGCTCCAGCGTGGCCCATCCGCCTGCCCGGAGGCGCCGTCAGGCCGGCGATGAACGACACCACTGGCTTGGCATTTGGGCCCTGGGAAGAAACAAAAGATACCCAGTTACAGGGGGGAGGGTGAGAGGAAAAGCAATTCCAGATGGCAGACTTTTTATTTTCTATTTTGTATTTAAATATCAACCAGCCAGGCAAAGACATTAAACAGCCGGAAACTTCAGACGACACGAACAAAAAGGCTTAAAGAGTGTGGAATACTTTCTCTCCTGCTAACCATCATAAAGCAGAAGCAAAGAGAAACTGTAAATCTCTCTACAGAGCCATATATACTACAAAAAAAAAAAATTAAAAATAAAAATTCACTACAAGCATTGTTACAGGAATAAAAATCTAAGCTGACACTGCTCTCCAGTTCACAGAATCATTAAGGTTGGAAAGACCTCTAAGATCAAGTCCAACCGTTACATTTAATCTGGACAAAGCTCCTAATTTCACCTCTTTCTCTTTAATAAAAGTAATACTGTTTTGTAGTACTGTTTTTGTAAGCAGACATTAGAAATTGAACTGAGTTTTCCTTGAAGTGGCAAAAGAAGTTGGATAACTACAAAGGTGTCTGGAAGCAACATGTTTAAGACTTACAGAATTATGTTCTTTCAAAAATGCTGCTGCATCTTCTTCAGCATTTCCTCCAATTTCCCCAATCAATATAATCCCCTCGGTATGAGGATCCTTCAAGAAGACATCAAGGCAGTCAATAAAATTAGTTCCATTGAAGGGATCACCTCCAATCCCTGAAAAAAAATTAAAACCACACGAAAAAGACTTACTCAAGATAATGATATTGCATTTATGATAAAAGTTGCAAAGTAAATTTCAGCATGAGGAGTATTCCCAAAGGCTCATGAGACAGGCAGCTCTGAAGGCTCTTGCCAAGTCTGAGTGTGTCAAATTCCTGCTCCAAATACCTCCCCCACAATTTACAGAAAGCTTTGATATCTGAACGTTCACCTTTCACACTGTAAACAAAATATTATGGGCACAGAAGGACTGAGACCTCAGCTCTAGAATTTTGCTGTAAGAAAACTGAATTTACTTAACACCCAACTAAATGCCTATCCCCTTATAATATTAAACTTCTTGGGAAAATCTGTTTCCAAATTGACATCATATTTGCTGGCACTTCTCTGTTCAAAGCTGGTTTTTAGGGTTTTATTAACCTGATATGGAAACAATAAGAGAGAAGGGCTATACTCTTCACAGCATATAGGGATCTCATTTCTCAACACGACTGCCATTCAGCAACTTCTACACTTGGGTAAAGGAATTACTCTGGATTTATCCTGTAAATTAAAACCAGATTAGTCTTGGTCCAGTAGGCTGTTTCCAAGGAAACCTACCAACACAGAAAGACTGCCCCAATCCAACTTGCGTTGTCTGATGAACAGCCTCATATGTCAAGGTTCCAGATCTTGACACAATACCTTTAGGAAAGAAAAGAAGATAAACTTAATATTAACAGAGTTAAGCACATGACTAGAGGCAGCTGCACTTATATTCATGACAATCACCTTAATAAACAACACCAGATGCCAGTTTTTCCATCTGTCCTTGCCAAAACGTGAAAACTCTCCGTAAGATTCTATCTGCACTGTTTCTTGGTTGTCACTTTTTAACACTTAATTGTCAACAGACTAAACCTGCCCAGGAATTCAATAACACTGGCTGAGACAGAATTCATCATGCTACAGCCTTACCAGGAAAGAAAACTGAAAACAAAATAGAAGAATATAGTTCTTATCTTGCATGCAAGTAGCTGATGCACTAAACTTGAGGCAAAGCCGCAGCTCAGTAGCCAACAAAAGAATTCTGTATTAATCACAGCCCCAGTAAGGCCAGGCACAGGAGAGATCCTCCAGAACAGAAATACGCTGCACAAATGTAGGTTATCACTATTAAGTTTATTTGTTGCTGCTCTACAAAACTCACTCGGCATTTATGTGACAACATTACAAGAAACCACAACCCCAGTTTTAAATTCAGAGTGGAAGGTAACACAGAGCCCAGATCAGGGGCAAAATATTTGCATGGCTTTTTCTTCATTTTTCCAAGACTTCCACTGATTGGTACAAAAGGAAAGGTTTCTAGGAAAAACAGACATAATCTTCCGTCTACTTCAAGCCATCTAGCAAGGAATATCACAAGTATATTGCATGAACAAAGGAGAAAATACACCACTAGACTAACAGCCTTAGTTTTATCAACTATTTATACTGTTGGACAGCTGAGATGTGTACTAGCAAAGGCTTTTTCTTGCTATGTTTGCCATTAAGATCAGATTGCTCCAGAGAAGCTACAGATAAGAGTCCAAAGACTGTGGCTATTTTTATAGCAGTATATTCAGATGATTCCTGGATGCCTCACAGTAATAGAAAGCTGGGGAGCACATCACCAAAGGTCATCACAGTGTTAGACGAAGCTGGGAGGATGGTACAGCTCCATTTTTATTCCTTGATCCTCGGAAAACCATCGAAAACATTTCCAGCAATGTCAGAGCTACTGGGTTCAGGATTTAAAATATTCTTTTGCACTTGACGTGCCTTGCATTCAGATTGTAATAACTTGTGACTACAGGACATTTCTTGTAGGTATTTAGAAAATCTGAAGAGAACCTTGACTCAGAAGGGAGCTCAGGGCAACATTGGTTGATGTTGCTTTTTACAGTCATAGAGCAATGTCTCAATGGTTTCTACAAAGGGCGTAATTGCAGCCATCTGGTTTTTCAATTCCAGGTTTACAGGCACTTTTGAAAGCTGGAGGTGTAACACGAGTGTTAACACATCTTCCAGCATTCCCTAGGTGCAGTATATTCTCAAGTCAGAAGTGGTTAAGAGGAAAAGATAGTTTCTCATGCTAGAAAAACTGCACTGAGTCCCTTTAGTTCAACAGCATTGAACAGGTTTTCCCACAAAAAATACAGTTTTCATCAAAAATAGAAGTAATGTTGCAAAGTGATCAAGTTAAACCAGTTACCTTGCTGACAAGAAACATACAGCATATACTGTCTACAACAGTGTTTATGAAGCTCTATTTAAGAAGAAATTTATATTTTGGAGGAATTTTCTCTATAGCTCCTGAACTGCATTATTTTTTAAAAAAATCAAGTTATTTCTAGCCACAATGAGTCAACAAAAGTCAGGACAAAAGATTTGCATGCAACAGGGTGTGTGATTATACACAGTGTGTGTAACTAACATGAACAAGTCACTGCCTTCCTGCCCTTAACTACACTGCCTGAGAACTGGGTATATTTGTCACTTCCCCTTGTCATGTTTCAATAGTTGTCTAAATTGTCACATTAAAAACTTGCCTGTAATCTCTTCTCTTTGCTGTAATACTGAGCTCACAATAGGTCCTAAGGAGCCAAGCTATTGGAAGGAATAGCATTGAGGAGCTTAGTCCTCTCAAATTCCATGATAAATGGAAGTTTCCTTAAGACTCTCCTTTGGAGACACCAAGGCCATCACACTAAGGCAACTTCCAATTGCTTTACCTCTACCATGAGCACCCAGTCCTGTTATGAAAGACTTCTTGATTTTGGCCTTCAGGATTGATAATGCCAAAATTCACTTACAAAGCGAGGGCAGACAAGCTGTACTAACTGTCTGTGGGACAGGATGTGCCCAGCCTCATGAGGCAGAACACCAGAGCAATAAATTAAGTTCTAGATGACGCATAAATATTCAAAAACTCACCGATTCTTCCCTTCTTGTGAATGTGACCAGGCATGATACCAATTTTACATTCTCCAGGCTAAGGAAAGAGTGGGAGAAGTCAGATGGAACATTCAAACCACCACTAAGTACGGTCCAGCCTCGGGCCAAACCCAGAAACCACTTACATTGATGACTCCAGGGCAGTTTGGGCCCACCAGCCGGGTCTTGCCCTGCCTGACCAGCCTGTGTTTGACCCGCACCATGTCCTGCTGGGGGATCCCTTCAGTGATGCACACGACCAAGGGCATCTCTGCATCGATTGCCTCATTGATGGCAGCAGCAGCAAACGGGGGAGGGACATATATCACAGTGGCAGAGGCACCCGTTTGCTCTTTGGCCTACAGAGGACACAACAAAAAATACATCACATAATTAGTGGGGCTGGAGACAACATCTGACAACAAATCATTTAAAATACATCCATTCTCAGGCATAAATTAAGTAAATGGATATGTATTAATTGACTATGATCAAAGCAAGAGTTAAATTCCCTGAAGATGGGACACAGAGTGCAAGTAGGGAACTGAGAACTAACCACTGTCTGGAAAGGATCTGCCCCAGGATCACCATCATAAATACTCTTAGAAAATAGTTTTCTAAAAATTCATCATACACACCAGAATCAATCAGAATCTAGTTGCATGCATAAAGCAAGTGTATCCAGACTCTGTGAACTTCACAGTGGAAGCCAAACTTGTACTTGACCACATTGAATGCTCCCTCTTTCACAAGGCTTCTATTTCACTCCTTGCCCAGTGACATCCACAGCTCAAATATTTGTCTCTTCAGCGTGAGCAATGAAATAAGGAGCCCTTCAGCAGCATTAAATTGTGTGCCCTCCAGTCACCGCTGCAAATTACCTCCTTCACAGAATTAAACACAGGCAGACCTAGATGAGTTTTTCCCCCTTTCCCTGGAGAAATTCCTCCAACTAGATTGGTGCCATAGTCCAACGCCTGCTGGCTGTGAAAGGTGCCCTATGAGAGGGAAAATAAGTGAAGTTAAAAGGTATGTAATAGCAAATAAAATTAACCAAAAATTCTGATGCTATCTGTAATTCTGAAGGTAATTTATGGCACTTAAATCTACAATGAGAAGGGAAGTTTTCACTACATGTATACAATCAGGTATTTTGAAGAGTGCATTGACATGTTTTTAAATGAGTTCAGCCCATGCTCATATGCTCTGCTTTTCCTTTTATATCAGAGCACTGCAGTCGCATGCTAAAGGATATTTTGCTGTGTGTTGCTAATACACCTGCAGACACACCAGCCACGTTTTATTGTCCACATCAAGTCTGGCAGATGACAAACACTATAGTAAAATAGAAATTAGCATTCTCATCCATGACTAGCTGATAGTTTTACAAAAGCAGCCTTCTCCCCTTGCAAATGTGTAAGAGAGTGAATCTGAGAAAATTATTAAATATCCTGAAATAAAATCAGAAATTTAATTCATAGGTATTGATACTCAAATGCATTTGTGAAAGAGGCACTTCTAAAATTGTAAGGTTTTTACAGGGTTTTTTTGCAAATCTCCTTTTACAAAGAAACCCTTTCAGCTGTATACAATATAAAGTCTTAAGATCAAAATGAAGAACAAAAATGAAAAGTACTACAATAAAGATGACTCAAAATCAAGTTTCAAGCTTGTGCACAAGTATTTGGCCAAAAAAAAGGAAACCACAGTGCTGAAGGACCTTCCTGATGGTGAAGGAAGTTCAGCTTCCTACTGAGACAGACAAATCCAGTGTATAATCCCTTTCATACATTATTAAGTTTTTCAGGCAATTAAATTTCTGAACTGAAAAGGTGATAAAAGAAATAGCTCATAAGCATACCTGTTTGCCTGTAAAACCCTGACAGATAACCTTTGTGTTTTTGTTAACATACAGATTTTTCCTAGATGCCGTGTAGGAGCAGTGTCGGACTCCATTCTGTTGAACTAGAGAAAAAAAAAACAGAAGAGAGAACAAACCATTAATCCACTGTTCTGTCAGACTCTGAGTCAAAAAATGTCCTATCAAGTAAGTGCATATCGATTAGTGCTTGTATCAGAAGACCATGAGCAGCTATGTTTTCTGCTCTGAAGCTGCATTCAGTGCTTGTCATTCTAAGATATTAAACACGTGCAGTTCACCCTATCGTGTGATTACTCAGTTTACTAGAAATCAAGAGAGTATTTCTCATATCAAGCACTTAATATCAGGATTCCTCATGACAAGTGACAGACAGAAACAACTTCTTAACCACTATTTTCATTTGCAAATGAACATGTCTCCATCCTCTCAGAAATTCTGCGAAGTGGCAAAGTAGAACTAAAATCCCAATATCCAGAGGCATGACACAAGTACTATGTTACACCTCCTGTGAACAGAGCACAGTCCAGACTAGACAAGGAGAGATAATTGAAGAGCTCAAGGGCACCTCAGCCCAGGTAAAACCTAATGCCAAGCAAGACAGTACAGCAAGAGATTTTCCTCCAACAGATTCCTGGCTACAGGCACCTAGACATCGCTGCTGGACATGCACTCGGGCTTGTGAGGAAACACAGCTCTCCAGATATTCCCCTAGAATGATTTTCAATTCAGTTCTCACAACTCTGATACTGACAAAAGAAAACAACACAATTGCAGAAAAAGAGCACAGCGTGTGCTGATATCAAAAAGCTCAGGAGAATGATGGCAGCTGTGCTGAAGGAAAAGATATGTTGACATCAAACGATTAAAAAAGAAATGCGCAGAATTTTACCCTCCAAGAAAGCTTGAGATGAGGAGGAAGGAGAGGTCTTCTGGTATAAAAAAGATGCACACATTTATTGCCATTGCTTTTTCAAACACCAGAGTTTTGAGGGGATCAGAGTCAATTTACTCCCTGTAAGTCTTTTACATAAAAACTTTATTTTATGCATAGAGTGAACCCAGGAAGGCACAATCCTAATGCAGAAACCAACAACAGCACGTTACTATAAAACCCTTCACCTCTTTTAAAGCTTTACCAACAAAGATCTGAGGAAGTAAAAAGTGAAGTTGAAATCAAAGTAAGAGATTCTGAATCATGATCCCTGGACTGCCCCATATACTTATTCAGGCATGTCTGAACAAGGAAAGGATATTTATTTTCTATTTTTAGGAAGGAAATAAAAACTATTCAGTGGGAAAAAAAAAGGAAAAAGGTATTTTTCAACAGAAACTGTTAATGCACGGAATTTACTAAAATGCATTATAACAATTTATATGGCGTGGTAAAAAAGTGCAGAAAATTTAAGATCTATGTACATACTCATTTCTATGACAGAACTACACGGGACTCTTCCACAAGTACTTTTGCCAACTAAATTTTAGTGCTACACTGCTTTTATGCTTTACTTCTATCCAAAAAAAAGTGAGATGAGAAACCAAACCATACCAGAACCAGTCCACAGACATCAGCGCTATTGCTAAATCTAAAGTCCTCACTCTGTTCTTAGAAAGTGCTGGCAAATCCGGGACTTAACTCCAACCACTCCTGCCATTCTCTAAGGATCTGCAGCAGATCCTCAACTTCAGATGGAGATGAAGCAAAGCTCAGCAGAGAAAGGTACAGACTTGCATGCAGTAAACTCATAAGGAAAGTCGTGAAGGTGCACTTTAGGTGACCTGCAGGGTTTTAACCTAAATCACAACATTATGCACAAATACTGTTGCAGAATTTGTTATGCCAGGAAATACAAAGCAGTAATGGACAAAGTCCACACCAAATCCATATAAAAAGCCATACAAAAGCCAACCATATCCTGGGCTGCATCCAAAGCACTGTGGGCAGCAGGATGAGGGAGGTGATTCTGTCCCTCTGTCCTGCTCAGGTGAGACTCCACCTGCAGTGCTGCCTCCAGCTCTGGGGTCCCAGCACAGGAGGAACCAAGTTGATCAGAGGGACGGAGCAACTCTGCTATGCAAAAAGGCTGAGAGAATTGGGATTATTCAGCCTGGAAAAGAGAAGGCTTTGGGGTGACCTAACTGTGGCCTTCCAGTACCTGAAAGAAACTTACAGGAAAGATGGGACAAGACTATTTACAAGGGTATATAGTGATAGGACAAAGGAGAATGGGTTCAAATTGAGAGTAGTTTTAGATTAGATATTAAGAAAAAAATCTTTACTGACGGTGATGAGGCCCTGGCACAGGTTGCCCAGGGAAGTTGTGGATGCCCCATCCCTGGAAGTGTTCAAGGCCAGGTTAGATGGGGCTTGGAGCAACCTGATCTAGTGGAAGGTGTCCCTGCCCATGGCAAGTGGCTGTGAATTAGACCATCTTCAAGGTCTCTTCCAACCCAAACCATTCTATGACTCTATGTAAATATGCCTGAGGCTGAGATTTAACGAGCAGGGTTAAGATGCAGGCAGAAGACAGCACAGGATGATCCTCATCCTTAGTCAAGGACTTGGCCTCCCTAGACAAGGCTGCAAAGCCCTGCACCTGCACTGCAACAAAAACTCACTCAAACACACAGCTGGCAAACAGCAGCCTGCCTCCAGCAAAGGAGAGGCAAAAGAGGCACAGAAACAGCTGGAATGCTGGTCAGGAGAGCAGGGAATCAGTCTGCCTGATCCCAGCCATTCAGGCAATCCCTCATTGGCAGCAGGTGTGACTGGGTAAAACCCAACCCTGAGAGCAGCAAAGGATGATCTCCCTTGAGAAGAAGCTGTTACAGTCATCACCACCAGCAATGCCTTGGGGAGAACAGTCTGGGCTTCCGGGAGCATGGGAGCGAATGTTTGGAAATGGGCCTGCAAGGGGAAAGAGTAAACAGGCAACACTAAACTGATTCAAATCTAAGTTTTATAGAGTCTGTGCTGCATCACTGACAAATCCACCTGCAAAATAAGAGAGGGATGCTTGCTAGCCACACATTTGTCACTCAGCAACTTCAGTACTTTGAAAAAATAAAAATAAAAATCACAGAATGGGTCAGGTTGGAAGGGAACACAGTAGGGCATCTGGTCCAACCTCCCTGCTCAAGCAGGGTCATCCAAGAGCATATTGCACAGGATCGTATCCAGATGGTTCCTGCATATCTCCACTGAGGGAGACTCCACACCCTCTTTGTTGTTGACAAACTCACAAATAGTCACTCATTTCTCTATACCTTAAAGCAATTCTACACTCTCAGTTCAGCTGTCCATTCCAGATCTATTTTCAGATATTTATAACCTTGCACAAAACTGTTTTTGAAAGCTTAAGTTTGTCAATTCCCACTCTTCAGAACACTGTATAAATATATTTTTCAAGGATAAAAAGCTTTTGAGCATTTTTCAAGCTATCAAAAAAAAAAAATCTAAGCACTGATATCTAAAAGGCAGCTTAAAATTTAAGCTTTGTGTGGATTTACTGCTGAAAACCCTATGTGCTTCTTACATTACTGTATGGCCCTGCTTCAGAGAAAATACAGCTGGTTCCAAAAAGCCTGGCTATAGGCTTGAGCTGTCTGCTGTCTCTAGAGAGAGGCAGCTTAGCATGGGCCCATGGCCAGGGAGCAATACATTTTTTAAGAAATTTAAGGAAAAAAAAAAACTAAAAATCACCTTGCAGTTTCCAGGATCGATGAGTCTGAGTTACTGAGGGTTTTAAAGTGGGATGATACAGTCTTTTACTTGTGTTCCTGGCCCTGCCTGCAGCAGAAACATTTGCCTCGGTTATCAGCACAGCAGGAGCAGCAGGGGCATGGGTCAGGATGAGGCTCTGCTCCATGTGGCACAAACAGCAAGTCCTGGGTGCAAGCAGCCGGCAATTTACATAATTAAGACAGATACAAGATGAGAAGGAAACAGGTGGAAAGTGGGAATGGCATGCCTCAGTTCACAGCAGGTAGGAGTCAGAAATAGAATCCAAGTCTCAACTTCCACCCAGGACCTGCCTCCCAACTTCCAAATCCTTTTAGACAATTGCTTTTACTAGTACAAATTTGGGTGCTTGACTCTAAATGCATGTTGCTTCATGAAGTCTGGAGGACGGAAAAAAAAATGAAAAAAAAAATTTGCTCTTCAGCTGTGAACCAGCAAGAGTCAAACCCATTGGTGATGCTATTTTAATGCACAAGCCTAAATTACAGGCCAAGCTGCAAAGGTGAAGGCTCCAGATGAAGTCCTGGAGCACAAGGACAACTCTTATCAAATCCAAATCTTACCAAAGCACAGGGGAAATGTTGTGCTTTGTCAAATCAGAGTTCTAAGATAAAATTACCATGTTGAACGAAGGCCTGCAATGGGCCTTTAGCAAAGAGTATTAAAAATAAAACAAGAGACTGGACAATCTTTCCCAGGCAACCCTTTCATTTCTGCCACACCTCTGTTCTGTTTAAAAATAAAGTTATACAAATAACAAGATGCATTTATTTTGGCTTTCCAGTCCTTTAACTTCTAGATAGCTAAAAACTGAGACGTACTGTGGCAAGAGCCTACTTTGGCCCATTGTACAGGATAACCAAGCAGTTATGAAAAGTGCTCAAATACCAAACCCCAACTGTCTCAGAGGAGATGTAAAGCAAGATCTAAATTTAGCAAAAAGCCTGTATATGGAACATCAATTGTTTTACAGTAAAGAAAACTTACTAAAAACTACGGACAGTTACTCCAACACACACACTGTGCTGATAGTTACTCTGGCATGTCCAGAAACAAGGCCCCAGCCAAGCCCAGAACTCACTGCAGTTCAAGAAACAGAAAAATCCACCTACATTTATCTCAGGAAAAAAACCTCATTATCCATGGGCTCCAGCAGGGCTTTAAGCTCACTTGTGAATTACAATGAACAAATCTTTTTGAAAAATACCCTGTTATTTATCATGAAGTCCAATCATGAATTTGCACATTAAAAAGAAAACTGACCCATTTACATGGTATTTTAAAGCACACTGGTGTTCACACTGAGCTTTCAGGCACTCCTTGAGCAGCAACATCTCACAGGCAAAAATTTCATTTAAAACAATGCAACCCGAGCTACATTTCATAGAATCATGGAATAGTTTGCATTGGAAGGGACCTTTAAAGGTCATCTAGTCCAGCCCACAACTTATTTGGGTTGTGCAAGCCAGGTGGCAGCACAGATACTAAGGGCTAAATCTCTTCCTCACTCAAACTATACAAAGTGGAAAACTTGTTATTTTCAGGACTCTTGTAAGATTTCCTATGGACAGGAATCCAGCCAAAGTGCCCCCTTCTTTACCCCCATTTAATCCAGATCAAAAAAAAAATGGAATTTGGAAGGTGAGGTAACATCTGAGGGTGTTCATAAAGCGAGCACAGTATAAAAGCAAGATGAAACAGCAGATTCTACAGGGACCTAAGCTCATACCCACATTGCCAGAAGACTGAAAAGTTATAAGTGAAATTCTTCCTCTATTACTCTTTGAAGAAGCCACAGAACTCAGGGATGAAGGAAGACATTCCTCTTCTATTACATAAGCAAGGAAAGAAGAAAGCCTTAGAAATCATATGGGCTCCAGTGAAATGGAGGAAATGGAGATCACCACAGGGGAAACTCAGGGAAGGACTGAGGTACAAGGAGTGCTACTTAAAATGCTAAGAAGTCCTTTTTTACACACACACATCCCACCCCTCTCTTTATCTTCAATTAGTTATGGACATTCAGCTTGTTTCTGAGAAATCCTTTTGATATTTTGGACACGTTTAATTTGCACTTTTATGACCACCTTCCTTCTCTTTCGTCTGCCTACAAATGCAAGGCCTGAGGAGGACAGAGCAGTTCTGGGGAGCTTCTGCCAGCACAGAAGAGCATAAACCCACCTCCAGAATTCACCCTTGAGGTTATCAGTTACATTAGCAGAAGATGATCCTTATTGACAAAGAAGTTTTCATGCTCTTGAGGGATTGTTCAAAATATCTTGCTCCTTTGTTTAAGAGGATTATGCTCTCAGAGCATTTCTAGATATCAGTCCCGAGCCACTCTTCTCTCACCCTTCCCTTGCCAAATTCCTATTAATTATGGCAACCCCAATCTGTGAACACGAAATAGGAGTTGAGGAATTAAGTCAATGAATCAGGCTGTAAAGGGCAGATGCAATGACTGTGCTACACCTACCACATCAAAACAAAACTAGGACTAATGGGAAATGACATGCAGAAAAATTTCAGCCCTTTCAACACATCTTTCTTTCCTAACCCAAAAGTTCCTTCTCAGCACAAATTATCTATTTCTTTAACGCCAACAAGCTGCTTTTCCCCACTCCAAGGCACACTCCACTGAGAACGCGTGCAGGAAAAGCTTTGTGAGCTTTCCTCTCTCCACACTGTTGACATAAAAACAATTCAGGAATTCCTCAGTTTGGGCTGTTATTTCTGCAGCAATCCTTTGCCAGGGTTACTCACATAATTACTGTAATCTTTTAATCTAAGAGCTCTCCAGAGCCTTCTAACAGGCCCAGGACATGAAATCCCTAATCCTGACTCCCCAGTCCGTTCAGGTGCCTACAAAGACTCTTCTAAGTGTGGTACAGACCAGCACAGGTTTCTCCTGACTCCCTCCACATACAACCAGTGCTCTGAACTGACCTCTGAGCAGCACTTGCCATTCACTGACATATTTTATACCCTCTTTTTGCAACTTCCTGATCCAAACCTTAAGGATACACACCCTGCACGTTTCCCTCAGCAACGCACCAACAAAAATAAGAGTTTGCATCTCTTTTGCAACAGAGCAACACCAGAAACTCATGGTTTTAAATCACTAAGAGAAACAGATGGTAATTATTTGTTAGTGAAAATGTATGTACAAAGTCCAAATTTAAGGTTTCAGCAGTTTTTTAACATTTTGTAAAGACTATCAAACCAAGCAAAGGCTTCCAATGAAGGACTACGTCATCTTGCATGAGTTTCTATAAAAGATTTCATGAACAGCTGCAAAAAGACATTTCTTGAGCCACTTAGATCTCTTCTTTTCCTCTACTCCTCAAAATAATTTTAAGAACCATTCCCTGAATCTCTTACTGCTATTTGTAAAGGGAACAATGTGGAGTTTTAACACGTAAAACTGCACCCAAGAGTAGCTTTGCTGGGAGTATAAATTAAAATAAATTGGAAGGTGCTACATTCCCATCTGTTCCCCTCCATCAGAACCAATTGTCATCAGGCTCAGGGGAGCCAATTCAAAAGCTAAAGTGGCAGAAATTAACTGTATAGTAAGAAAATAGTTTTCTGTTCCTGTTCACGGAGAACAAGAGGCAGGAATTGGATACCCAGCTGGACGGCAGGTGTGCCACAGGAACTACTCACACCAGATTATGGCTGTGAGATCCTGTTGCCAGACCCTGACCTGCAAGTCACCATGCCACTGAGACAAAAACACTTTGTGTGGAGTGAAATGAGGTAGATTTAACTTTGTCCATTCATTTTCAGCTGCAAGAGCCAAATTAATGCACTATTTCCTCAGTTCAGATACCAAGAAACTGCTCTTGTGACCCACACTAATTTCACGGAATCACAGAATGGTTTGGGTTGGAAGGGACCATCAAGACCACCCAGTTCCAACCCCCTGCCATGTGCAGGGACACTTTCCACTAGACCAGGTTGCCCCAAGCCCTGTCCAACCTGGCCTTGGACACTTCCAGGGATGGGACATCCACAACCTGTGCCAAGCTCTCATCACTCTTACAGTCAATAATTTCTTCCCAAAGCTAATCTAAACTTACTTTTATTTCAGTTTAAAGCCATCCCCCCTCCTGTGTACTACAAGCCCTTGCAAAGTCTCCTCTTCAATAGAGAACGTAGCTTTAACTGAGCAAAATAAGCACGGAGAAAAAAAAAAAAAAGGAATAAAAAGAAAAAAAGGAAGTACTTTATTGTTTTATTATGATGTTCAGAACAACACATATTAAATGTTTCAGGGTGAAGTACTAGTCTCGGACCGCTCGTGCTCTCCACAACACTTAGCAAACGTTTCAAGCCGAAGTATTAGTGTCGGACTGCTCGTGCTCTCCACAAAAAGAGGCCAATACACAAAAACAACTTCACCGCCTCGTGCTGAAACCACAGGGTAACTCAGGGGCCTCAAGCGGCCTCTCGCCCAACCCACCACCCACCTCTACCAGCTTCCTCTGGCCCTTGACCTTTTTATTCTTTCCGGGGCCGCAACGCGGAGAAGAACAACCTTCCTTGCTCCCCGTCCCCGCGGGCGCCCACCCTCCGCGGGGGAAAAAAAAAAAACTTCCCGTATATTTTATTAACCAGCCTCCTCGCAGCCAGGCGTGCCCCTGCCCCGCCAGAGCAGTGCCAGCCCCCCGAGGAGGGCAAAGCCGGCGCCCGGAGCAGCGCTGCGACCGCCGGGGACACCGCCGGTCCCGCCGGGGACACCCCCGCTGCCGCCGCGGCCCCTCCGCGCCGCGCTCCGCCGTGACCTTGCCCAGCCCCTGTCCCTGCCCCTGTCCCTGTCCCTGCCCCCCGTGCCCACAGCGGTGCCGGGCGGCGGGGAGGGCCCGTCCCGGTACTCACGGCGGAGGACGCGGCCGAGCAGGCGGGCGGCGGGGCTGCAGCGAGACATCGTCCCTCCCGTCCGCAAAGGCGGCGGCGGCGGCGGCCCCGGCTCGGCCCGCCCCGCCCCGGCGGCGGAAGGGCGGCCCCGCGCCGCATTCTGGGGGCTGTAGTCGCCGTGAGGGAGGGAAGGGAAGGGCAGGGGGCGAGGGCGTAGCAAAAAAAAAAAGTCGCGTTTTATTCGGGGAGAAGGTGGAGTTTTATCTCTTTGAGCGGCTGGTATTGAGAGCAATAAGCCCCCGTTGTTCTGTGATATTTTTTTTCCCCCCACCGGCCTATCGCAATGTAAAAATAAGAGCAATAATTATCCGCCGCTCGGTAATTTTCTGTCGGAAGTTTGTGTTGAGGTGGTTGCGAAATAAGCGAGTTTCTGAGGAAAGCATCGAGGCTGGTGAAGGGACTGGAGCACAAGTGCTGTGAGGAGAGGCTGAGGGAGCTGGGGCTGTTCAGCCCGGAGAAGAGGAGGCTCAGGGGAGACCTCATCACTCTCTACAACTCCCTGACAGGAGGTTGTAGCTGGGTGGGTCTCTTCTCCCAGGCAACTATCAGCAAGACGAGGGCATGGAGAGGTTTAGGTTTAGATATTAGGGAGAAATTCTTCACAGAGAGGGTAATCAGGCGTTGGAATGAGCTGCCCAGCGAAGCGGTGGATTCTCCGTCCCTGGAGGTTTTTAAGATGAGACTGGATGTGGCACTCAGTGCCACGGTCTAGTAACTACCGTGGTAGTGCATCAAGGGTTGGACTTGATGATCTCAGAGGTCTTTTCCAACCTGGCTGATTCTATGATTCTATGGTTTAGTTGAAGTAGTGGTGGTAGTAGTAGTGGTACAGTGAGTATCCACTTTTTGGATAAGAGACACTGAACAAAGGCGCTCTGTGACCAACCGGCTGTAAATGCGCTGCTCAACGGGCAAGTTCAAGTAAAGTTCATGCTCCAAATGATTACCAAGAGACCACCAGGAGACCCCCTAGAAACCAAATAAGGACTTCTGAAGAACTTCTTAGGACTATTTAACATACGTATGACCTTTATAAGAGAATTAGTGAATATGCAAGACATTTGCTGAATATGTAAAATTGTAAGTAAGTATTAGCTATGCTGAGCCGAGAATGGGTCACACATGATCAGAGGGGCAATCCTCCTGTGTGCCCAGCACTGATAACAAAAGAATGTCTGACCACCAATGCTCACAAATTAAGTTTTAGGGGTTTCTTATTGCCAATTTCAGTAACAATTTATAATCCCACATGCAAGTTACATGACCAATCAAATGAAATGTATTACCTCTCTGAAAGAGGGTAGATTCACACTAGATAAAATAAAGATTTTTTTTTTTTTACGATGAGGGTGCTGAGGTGCTGGCACAGGTTGCCCAGAAAAGCTGTGACTACCCCATCCCTGAAAGTGTTCAAGGCCAGGTTGGACAGGGCTTGGAGCAACCTGGTCTAGTGGAAGTTGTCCCTGCACATGGCAGGGGGTTGGAACTGGGTGATCTTCAAGGTCCCTTCCAACCCAAACAATCCAGATCCTATGCTACCTGACATCCTTTGTTAGTAATCTGCTCAAAGCACTGTAGAAAAGGAGCAAAACCCCTGTCCTGACCATGTCCAGTGAGCACTAAGAAAATGCTCCAAGGCCAAAAGGATGGCACAAGGAGGACATGAGTGATGGTCCCAGGATAGTCAATCTGATAAGCAGCGGTCCTGACCACCTACTGCTTTATTGCAGCTAAATGGTTTGAGATTAAATTGTTTTTTAAAACCTTAAAGAGAACTGACAATCCTCTCTCTTATTCACCATGGACAGTGTACTTACCTAGCTGATCCTGGGGTAGGAAAAGAGTGCATTTGAATAAATCAAACAACACTTTTCTGAAACAACAATTAGTGTTTTCTCCATACAGAGATTCTTAGCAACATCATTTTCTTTCTGTAAATTTTAGGAGACATCTGTTCTGAAAGAGAAGAGGGTTAATGAACAACAAGAAAGGCTCAGCTCCATTTTTTTGACAAGGCAAACATTCCTGAGAGGAGTGTGTGTCGGGGACAAGGGTTACAAGAGAAGTGCCTACAAAGCAAACAGAGGCTATGCAGTACCTGGGACTTGTAGGGAAGTTAGAAAAATCAGGGAAAGCTGTGAAGTCAGCTCATTTATTAAAAAAATGTGCAATTTTTGCAGCCGCAAGCAAACCGACTTCAGATCAGTGTCACAAGAAACCACTGAACTCTACAATGAGTCCTCACATAAGGGGGTTTTAAATGCTTTAACTTATACACATGAGCTTCAGACACAGGTCAGCTCATCTCCTGTGCCATCAGCTGCCTCCAGAAACATGTCCTGTGCATATATCCGTACAAATATTTGGGTATCTGGGAGAGGGGCAAGAAGAGACAAAGTATTCCCTCAGGAATTGTCATACTCTGATTTTTTTCTTAATTAATTCATTCATTTTGTGTCCCTAAAACCAAGGCTGTAATAAATAAATGGAGCATCCAAATGTTCAGCTTCTTATGATACCCCTAGGAGGACACACACACTGATATTATAAGGAACCCACTTTCTTCTAAAAGATTTGTACCTGGGTCCGTTTCCAAATCAATTTTTCCTTGAGGCTTTCACTAAGACTCTTGTGGGGATTATAGAATTTGACTTAGATGCCACTGTATTGTCATTCTATATACAGGAACATTTTGCTTTTAGCAGTCTCTCAACAAAACTCTTATTTTCAGGATGGGAAGGGAGAGAAGATGATCTAGAAAAATAACACACAAAGAACTTAGGGAGACTGGGTATCAGAGAACCAAAGGGAACAATTAGAAGCCCAACTGTTCCTAAGTGATCCCCTCACCATGGATCATAGGTGGCAGTGACAGGCAGGATTGTCCCACTGCCAAAGGTCAGAGAATTCTGAGTCCCACTCCTGCCGACAGGGAGATCTGGAGGTTTTGGCCTTAAATAAATTATACAGTGAGTTATTCTTGCTCTGCTTTTTATGTTGAGCTATGTAGTGTTAGAAGTACATCTGTTGGATACCAAAGGCACTTAAAATAACTCAGGCCTGAAGTGAAACAATATGAAAAAAATAAGGACAACTGCAGTTTTTTAGTGTTTTCAATCATCATGGCTAGGCTTCGCGAACGAAGATTTGGGGGTTTTCAATGGAATCATGTAAGATGAGTGTTTGGGTTGTTGTTTGGTACTTCTGTTGTTTTGGTAGGTTTTTTGGGTTTTTTTTTTCAACCTCAGTAGCAGAGACATCTCTTCAGTCCTTTGCATTCAAAAACCTGAATGCGTATAGAGTCTTTTGACTCTGTATTTTGACTCTGTAATTAATATCAATGCCAGCCATCATCACTCTAACTGTTGAAGTTTCAGGGTATGGAAAACAGCTGTACAATATATAATTGAGCAGACATACATGGAACCGAAGAAAAAAAAACAAAAACAAAAAAACCTATTTTCAATTGTTTTAATGCAGTGGTTTGGTTCTCGTCAGAGAACACTCTGTCCCACCAACATTAATTTAGCTGATTTAATCAACTTCCTAGAAAGAAACCATTCAGCCCAGGGAGAAACAATACAGCAATTAGCAACACTCAGGTAGCAGTGCCAGGGGCTGACTTACGAAAGTTCAGGACAGACCCAGTTCTAGTGGCATAGCCAAAAGATTAAGAAAGATTTGGAGATTTAATCCAAGAACAATAATTTTCAACCACTGTGGCAAGCCCAAAGCTCAAATAATTTGTGGGGTCACTCTCTAATGCATTTTTATAAGGAACTTCATTCTAAGAGCAACACAGATCCTGGAGCTGAACCTGATGAAAACCACACACCCAGGGACTAACTCAATTCTAGTGAAAACATTTTTCTTGCTTTCTTACTTATAGTTGGGCTTTAATCCTGTTTGAAAGCAGATCTGCTGATATTAAACACAGGACTTTCTGCTTAGTATCCCTCACAGAGCACTTGATCTTCTAGTAAAAAGCCCAAAGGAACATCATGTTCATGTTGACTTACCTGGCAGCTTCAGCCACAGTAGAAGACAAAAACACTCTGTTGATGTTTTTGAGGTGTTATTGCTAATGCTTTGTTTACTTCCATCATCAGCCAAAAATGTGCAATGCAAATAAATCACTAACCCCTTAAATATCTGCATTTAGCTAGGGACTAAAAGCAGCAAAAATGCTTTAGACATCCAGGTTTTTCAGGGTGTCCTGTTTACACCCCGGAGTCCAAGTTTGATATTATACCAGAGAATGAAAAAACGACTGTGCTCAAGGCACTGGCACTTAGAAACACCAAAACAGTTGTCACCTGCACCAACCCCCTGTGTCTTTCTTCTCCCGAGGCCTTGATGGGTACGGCAAGGGTACTGCCTACCAGTCTCAGTCTTCTTCATCCACACGAGGAACTCATCCCCTTACTCACACATCATCCTCATTTCCATGTGCACATTTCCATGTGTGAATCCACATGTCTCCACTTCTGTGTTTCATACTGTCCTTGATCTTGCTGCAGATAACCCAGGAGAGGTGTTTGAACTGCAGCTCATGACATTGGCTTGTGGACTGGCATCTAGTGCAGCATGAGCCACCCAGCAGCATCCTGCCCTGCTTCCTCCCGCCTCTCCAGGAAAGCCTGGGTTTCCTGTTAGTCCTGTATCCCAGAAGCCAGCCCTCCACAGAGGCCTCAGATACCCCAGGGCACCCCACATGGCACTAGACCCCTATATTTAGACGCCTGAGTTTTTTGCTGTCTGAACAGTGCACAGCTGAGGCTGAAATTCAGGTCCAAATTCAGCCACCTGAAGGTGTTTGCATGGCAGGTGTGTCTGTGTGTCCATCTCAGCTCTTGCTGTGCCGATGCAAACCTGGTCCACACAGTCAGCAGAGACAACAGAGTCTTTCCTTTGCTATCTCTAGGTGTCTGCTGCAAAGAGAGGGTTGAATTGCTCCCTTAGAGCCCTCCCAGAGCGGGACAATCTCCAGTGGTTACAAGAACTTAGAAACCCATCCACAGCAGTAGCCCACGGTGGGTACCTCTGCAGGAGGTGTTTGAAGCTGGACCT